AAAAAAAAAAAAAAAAAAAAAAAAAAAAAAAAATTTAAATATAACTATCAACCGACGCGACGGCACCAACGCGCACGTTGTTCTCGATCTTCGCTTTTAGTTCGCTGATTGACGATCTATTGTCCTCCACTCGTCGTAGATCAATGAAGAATGGAGGCGAAGTAAAAAAAATCTCTCGTCTAAAAATAATGTCATTCATAATTAATTGCGAGCGACCGACGAGATACAGCTGCCGGTTAACAATCCTGACGGTACCAGCAGCTACTGTATGTCTGTACCTCGTCGTTTTCATTAGTGCGCTTGTATATATAATCGAAAATATTTTTATTTCATCGAGTCGACCGAGGAGGTAAACCTTACTTAAAACGAATATAATCTGCGATGGCTTTACCCTTCAACTTCCACCCGTGAAAATCAAAGCACGTATTTGAGCTAACCTAACTTAGCCCGTAAGCCGGAGAAACTATTAGGTTCATGAAATTATTTTTCTACCCTATTGAAACGTTCTGCGATCAATTTCGAATATTTGCAACGTTCAACAGTGCAAATAATCAACAATATTTATACGCGTATATTATTATCATATCTATATTATAAAGAATATATAGACTTCGAGACGCTGTTGTATACTTATATTTGCACGTTTCTACTTATTAAGATCCAAACGGCGCTGGGGCGAATTGAAAAATGTCAAAATATAAGAAACACTGGTAAAAAATGTCAAAAAATAAATAGAATAAATATAATATAATTTAAATATTGGGCATGTATATATAGAACCGTGTTGTACGGAAAATTATAGGTATATAGTGTGATATTGTGTTAATATTTACGAATTGAGTTAATCTGTGAAATTTCAATAGTATACCTGGCAATAATTTATAAATGTAAAACCGTGTCGAGAATTTATTCTATATTATCTTAATTACATATTGATTTACTTACATATTAGTTTCTGAAGGATGAATTGTGCCGCTTGCTAGTGACTACACGGACATGGCACATGGTCTTATAATCCTTCTTGCATTTAATGCGATGTAAATATTTTAATTTTTAATATCAAATTTTATTTGTCTCGTATATTTTTTTGTAAACGATGCATTTTTAATTGCTGATTATGTTGTTTCTAGCACGCCAGGTTGCAGGACACGATAGACGAACATTCGCGGTAGCTGATAATATTATGTATTTCCGAGAAAATTATGTTTTACCCACGCACTGTGAATTGTTGCTGTCACGTCAAAGGTACAGTTAATTCAACTCAATTCTATCTTAGCTTAATGTAAGCTTGTTACCATTAGCGGATTTATTCATTAATTATGCGGTAAAAATTGAACAATGTACAATCTAAAATGTTGATGCCCAGTTGATGTGAACAGTTTCTTGGCGTAAATCAATATACATTGAATTTTTAGACGGTATTTATTAATAAATCTTGATTTAATTAAATTGGACATGCAATTAAAATTAACTCTGTTGAAAATACGATGACCGTTACACAATTACAGAAAATATACAACACGAGTAACAACAATCTAAATAATAAAAATAATGGGCGGCCATGGTTAGGCATAATAATCGGGCGTAGTCATAGGCGCCACCAGGAATTATGTCAGGGGTGCATCATGCAAAGTATATACGCTAATATCTAAATAATGCAGGAAAATAAAAATACGTAAAATATACATAGGAATATATTTTTAAATTTTATTATGATACATAATTATTTTCGATTTTTCCGATGGTTACAAAGTAATTCAGGCTATTAAAAAAATCTGACAGTGATAAAAATAGCCTCTATTCTATATTTTTAAATTGTAATCTTTTTTTAATTCAGGGGTACAAGTGCACCCCCTTACACCCCTCTCGTGGCGCCCATGACTGTAGTTATCTTTTAAATCTACGTGTATAGTAGTCTGGTGGGTCCAGTGCTAATTTTATGGATAGGCAACCACGTGACTGCCTGACAACAATCGAAAAAAAAAATTTCAGCTCTTCGAATATTTGAACTGCAAACAATGGAAGGGAGTTTCCACGAGTTAAATTAATATAAAAAAATAATAATTAAAATAAAAACGCATCAAATTTTCCATTCGTTTTTTCGTTTCTCAGACGGCTATTCTGTATACAGAATAGTAATAAGGGCAGATTTTACTTAACCTATTTCGAGCCATTTCAGGTCAGTAGGACGGATGTGCATATAATAACATGTTATTATCGTATATATTTTAGTATAAATGATTGAATGCAGTCATTACATTCTAACATTTGAACAAACATTCCGAGGGAAGCTCGTTTAGTAGTAAACTATTGTTATACCAATTACAAACAAAAATATTGAGTATTTACTATTTATACAATTCTTTTCGCGGTTTTTGATATATCTTTAACACGTCTAGAACATGGTCATTAATTAAATTATATTCATATTTTAAGTCTTTTGAACAAAACGACTTTTTTACTAAACTGCAGTACACAATATAATTTGTATATGTGACATGTATGTGTAAACATAAACATTAATATCGTCGTAATTACACTTTTTATACTGTTATTAAAACTTTAAATGCTGTAATCTCGAAAAATTGAGTCTGAAACATGTCACGTTAAAAAATGAGATAATGATACATACAGTGTATTTTTTTAAATTAGCTAACTAGGCGATACAAATATCGCCAGTGATTATATTTTGTCGCCTAGTCAATAATATTTTGAAATATTGGGCAAATTTATACGAATTGAACGTGAAATACTACTATCATACATTGTATATTGATTCTATTGAGAAAAAATTGGTTTATTGTCCATTGGAAATTCCTTAAAAATGCACTAGATACAAGAGTTGATTTAATATACACACGGCCCCTAAAAACCTATTATTATAATACAAACAGATGCGTGTTAATTTACGTTTGAATATATGCCCACGGTCTAATTAGATAAGTGCCTATCATACGTTGGAAATCATAAGTTTCCTCATTTTAGTTTTCAGAGTGTGCACATATGTTATGCCAGAAATCAGGAATACTTTTTTCCCTTTAAACCTTACAGTACCGCAAACTGTTTCAACTCCCTAAGCTATTTGTTTTGTGATAATATTAGAAATACAGATGTAATGGTTAAAGTTTCAATTGTTCGTAATTTTAGGATTTGTTTTTTTGTTTTTCGTATAATTTTTGATTTTAATTGCTAGGAATTTCGAAAATTAATTGAACTAAGGAAAAACAATTTTAACTATTTGGAATCTTCGACCGACAGGTCTATAGATAATTGTTACTTTTTTATAAGATCTGTGTTTATTTTTATTATATCATCTATTATAAGACATTATTTTTTATCTTCGTGCTAGGTATCATACAATAGTAGCATATTTGAGATGGGCATAGTGGGTATAATTAGCCCCGTAAATATAATTTAAAAAATAAGTCAATGAGCTGGATACTGGGTCGATCGACCTGGTGTTTTAAATTTGTTTGGAATCTATATGGCTCCCTAATTTATAGATAATCTTGTTTGTACCTTGATAATGTAAATTTATATCAGTGCTCGTTGACTGAAATCTAAAAAGTTTTCAATTTTGAAAGTGATTTTCACACCAAAAAAATAAATAACTCCAGTAAGTAATAATATTATTGGTTACATTTAAAATTCTATATTCAATTGCAACATTCTTAACAAACCCAAGTCGTAAAATAATATATCACTGCTCATTGTTGAATACAACAGCGTGTAAAGTCTACATAGATTGTGAAATTACTAAGATTTATTTGTGATAATAATTCATATTTGGCAAAGGTCTTAGGTGCGTGTTTAAATGAATGGGGGGGGATTAGAGGTTCAACCCCCTCAAAATTTAACTAGTATTTAAAATTTAATAAAATTTAAGTTGAATTTCATGAACGTCCACCGAGGTTATTTTATTATATAAGCCACCCTGGTCCAATCTTTTGTAGTAAGTGGCCCAATTTACGAAAAAAAAAACGAAAAATAGACATAATTATCCAGTAAAATCCGCGTTTTAGTATATAGTTTCATTTATATATTTCGCATTAGATACACTGGCTATTATAAGATTAAAGACAACTAATAACGGATTCAAGCTATTTATTTTTATTGCTATTTATTAAACGAGTGGATACACTATAAGAAGTTGCATTGAAGTTCATTCTTTTTGTATTTCATATAAGAAAATAAAAATGGCTGATCAAAATTCTACGAAAACAAGCCTAAGTGAACTTATTTCTTGGCGTTTATTAAAAAAAAACCCATCTGGGGCGATAGTATGGGGAATTTTTGGTGTCGCGTTGGTTATGGATGGATTTTTTTATCTTCACTTTTTGAGGCGTAAAGAATATCAAGTAAGAAACATGTATAATATATTAGTAATTAATTGGTAATTTTTATTTATTAACTTTGGCCAAATATGTCTGACAAACAGGTTGACCACAAAAAACGTATGTGGAATGAACGTCTTGAAATGCTGGAGAATCCTGTCAAAATGAAATTATACTACCCATCAAAGGAGTTAGTGCCAAAAATAAGTCAACCATTAATAGATATTTACAAAAAAATGAAACATGAAGAAGACCAAAGGCTTAAACAAATTGAAAATTGCATTCGTTCAATTAATGTTAAAAAATAATAAAATACAACAGTAGTATTTCACAAAAAAAAAAAAAGACTTTATTATCCAGTAAAATCTGCCGTCAATAATTGCCGCCTAATAATGGCTATAATAATAATAATGACTTCCACGACCTTCCACCACATGAAATCAGATTTACTGCGGTTGCTATAAAATATATAATATAATATAATGCATTTTATAATATTGTTATGATTTTTTTTAAATATAAGTCTTCTATGGAGGAGGGCAAAAAAAAAAAGGCTTGGAGGGCCCAGGGTTGAACTACTCTGATACAAGCGATGCGGTCACGGATTAGATTGCCGATTTTGGGTAAAAACCATTATTATATGAGTATTATCATTTATTACTACTCGGTTAAAATGAAAAATCATTGTTATTTTTTAATTTTTTAATATTATTAATAATAAATTATCTAAAAAATTTAATTAAATAAGTGAAAAGAATTTATAAATGCATTATGATCGGCATATATTTGAAAGAGCACTTATTTCATCAATGTATAACACTCAAACAATAAATCTTATCAGTACGCGATGAATTTAATTACAATAAAAACCCTACAATAATAACATTAAAATGATTTTTATATGAATATTATACAAATTTTCTTTAAAATCTAAAATTTGAGAAAAATGTCTCCCTTACATTGTACAAAAACTATAAAAAATTACCTTAAATATGAAAAAATGACTTAAAAATGTTGAAAAATAGCATTAAAAAACAGAAAAATACATTTATATCTAAAAATGTCTAAAAATTCAAAAAAAAGTAAAATAAAATTAGAATATTCTGCATCAAGGAAGCATGACAATATTATTTAGTTATGATAGCATTGTATAGAATCAAAGGAAAAAAATGGAAAAAGCCATCAACATCCTAACTCTAATTAATGTATATGTATATGGACTATTGTATTCTCTTGTCAAGTAAAAATTATTTGACTCCCCTCGAAAAAAAAATTTTAGGTACGTCGCTGAAAGGTATTCCTGATTCTATAAGAAAAAAAAAACATCAATTTGGTTAACAATAATTTTACTTCTGTCAATTTGCCTGCTCTTATTATTTAATTTACATAGAAGCTCTCATTGTTTGTCGAAGATCTATGAAGTTCTGCAAACTGTTTCTAAAATGATAAACTTCAATAAAAAATATCTTTGAAATCAGGATTAACATAAATAAATACACGGTTTTAAGTTATTCACTAGTAATTTCCGTATGTACAATTATTTTGGTATTAATACAATAAAAGTCCAATATTAATACATTTATACATAAGAAATAAGTCAGTGTCGAGTGTGCCACGGCTAAATACAAGTTGATATGAGTGCACCGCGAGGTCAAAAAGGTAGGTATGGAAACGCTGATCTAGACAACTTTTAAACATAAGTAGACGATAAATAGCAGACATTTACTTTTAAAATGAATCGATTTTTGATAGATTCCACCCAGGGCCAGCCAGAGGGTGGGGGCAGAGAGGTCTAGAGCCCCGGGATTCGTACCTCCGAGAGGGTCCGTTGTCTCAGCCTTTTATACAAAATTATTTTGTAATCTCATTCAACGTAGCATAAGATACAAATGCGAATATTTTCATTATATTTCAGTATGTCAAGTATGTATCTTGGCCAAATAAGTGTAAGTAAAGGAGGCCTAGAACCGAACAGCCTCGGGGTCCTCAAAAGTTCTCGTCGGCCCTGATTCCACCCCATTACACAATATTGATGTTTTAATATTATTTTTTTTTTTATTAAGGCTTCAAATATATGGTTTATTAGTCTACAATATTTTACAGCACTTAGGATTACGTTTTGTTTTAGAACATTTTTATTTATATTTTACAAAATTGTGAAAGTGTGGTAACGGTGATCAATTGTCCTTGATGTTCGCTGTGGGTTCAGCTATCTGGATTATTATTATTTTTTTGTTGTCCGAATACTTTTTTGGACGGTTTGGTGTTTACATTTTATTTTGTCCGGGCGTTCTAGAAGTTAGGCATTTTAAGAATGTGTGATTAACAGTGAGTTCAACAAGGCACATTTCACACCTGGGCTCGGACTCATTACACATTAGGTGTGAATGTGTGATTCTGGTATGTACAATGCGTACATAATAATGATAACAATAATAATGAGTACGCATTACTCGGGTATTATTTTTATTTTGCATTTCAATTGGTATACTTTTGTGGCCGACGACGACAGCGAAAATTAAATAACTCTAATCGCTTGTTTCATTTAATTAGTTGGAAACGGACATTGAAACCTACGTAGAAATACTATTAGCACTGTGCCGCCGTCCCCACCAGTAACGGTAAGTTATCTTTACGTATCGCGATCAAGGTCTGTGGGGCCTATCCGCATTATTATTTACGATGTTACGTGTTCACGTAATTTATTCAGTTTCGCGGAGCTACTATTTACGCAACCGATTCGGATTCGTTTTCCGGATAATTATCATAATAACAATATTAACAATTCAACATAATCGACGGTGGGCGGGAGTGTAGGCCATGCGGCTGTCACTCAATGCGGTACTCTCGTACCATAGAGTTGGTTACCGAATACACGATAATGAATGATAAAAAAAATAATTAACACTAACAATTAGGGACGCTGCAATACTACCGGTACCAATAAAGTATCGATACTTTTCTTTCGATACAAGTACTTTTTGTGTCGATACCATGGTTTCGTTATTTTACACACATATCGATAAAAAAAAATATTGGTTTCGAATGAATAGTATGGAATCGTTTACTAACCGCCATATTGGTTCAAAAATCAAAAGTACTACTACTATTTTCAAATAGCAATTTTGATTTAAATATAGAACTTTAAAAATACCTAATTTTTTGAAAGTGTTTATGTAATAACATTTTTATTTTTGGATATTAAGTGAAAATTTAATATCAGCTAACTCGTGTACGTGTACTTATTTACCAATACTGAACATTTTTTAAAAATCGTTAGTCTGAAATTTATTTCATAAGCGTTTAAGTAAATATTTATACCTAACATTCTTACGGATCTTACTGATTTTACATAAATTTTCAACATTAAATGTTTATTAAAAAACGTGGATCCATCCAATCATAATGAAACTTTGAATACAGATAAATATTCGGTTAAGAAAAAAAATTAATAAAATTGTAAATGTTAAACAGGTTGATAAAAAAAAAAGAACCTACCAATAATTAGACTAAAAGTGGTAAAATATACTCATAAATGGTTAATTTTTATACTGAACCGTTACTCAGTCATTCAATATGATGGTCGAAGTTTAGGGATTTCAAAATCTGGTATTCCTACTTATTACTATTATCCAGTTCGAAGACCGAAAAGAGGAAGGACGAACTTCCACTACCATTATTTAAATAATAAATTTATATATTTATACAATAAAAACTTTGTTTTTCTATACGTAATGAGTAATAAGTATTAAAATGTAAATTAACATGAACACATTTGGGGGTGCTAATTTCAAAAATGGGGGTGCTAAGCACACCCAAGCCCCCCTCTCAAATTGCGCCTATGTGTGTAATTATTGTATACCAGCAGCAGTGGTCTGAAGTGCCGAAAACCAGCTTGTGATCACCTTCATGTAACAGTGTCGCCGTTTTCCGAGCGAAAAACTATGGCAGAGTGTGTTGGTCGCAAATCTTTTCGGACGCATTCGTAGTCGTCTACGGTTTTCGAGGAAAAACCGATCGTTGCATTTATTTTCACCTTAGTCTGGTCGTACCTATGTCGTACGGACGTGGCTCTCGATCCTTTTCTTTCCGACCGATTGAATTGCCATCTAATTTAAACCATTGTTTTTTTTTTTTTTTTTTTGCTGCTGCCACTGCATCAACTTGCTCGGTGTTATTGATAAAGACAATTTGATAGACGACTAGTGTTAATGACAAATAAAGAAAAACGTTCCTGTTGTCGTAATATCATTTTGTCATAGTTTTCATTGTTTTCTCCTAATACAGTTGCTTACGCTGTTACTGAACTCTTTATCGTTTTTCGTTTATTGACTATTTAAATTTTTTCTCGTAAGTTTAATATCAAGTTTCCCATCTGATCCGCGTTCTACGGCTTAGATCGTCGCGTCGTACGTATAACGTTTCGAGCAATTTTTGGTTGTACAATTCGGAATCACGGTCAACAAAATGTTCAAATCGAATTTTGAAAAACTACTTGGTACCTACTTTTGCAATCATACTACATAACATTGTACTAACTATTGGTCTGATTTTGTAGATAAAGTGACCAGCAATCTGTTATTAGAACCAGATTGGCCGTCAACGTTAGAAATATGTGATACAATACGGCAGAAAGATGTCCAGTAAGGAAATTCTGTTCATTTTTCATTTATTTAGTTGTTCGTGGTTTAAATTCGTTTTACTTATAGATTATTATTTTGTGTTACAACATTTATAGCTACTGACCTGATTACATTTAATACTTTATATAACTTATGATATTGATTTTATGTCTGATCAATTTTGTTTTATTTTATAGTTGAAATGTTGGCTCTATAGACAAAACAAATAATGATTAAGCTTTAAGTAATTCATGATAGAATTTTTTACATAAAATACGTATATAGTTTTACTTGTAAATTTTGTGCGGTTTAGTAAAATCGTAGTTTTTCCTATAATAATATGACCTTCTGTAACATTCAAATATTGTATTAATCAATTTACATTCATTAAAGAATTATTGCGTGGGTTCCACTTCGGTATGAGTTAAATTGATTATGAGAAATAAAGAAAATCACTACTGTAAAAAAATATGTGAATAAACAAAAAACAATGGTTTATTAAGTATTCTTACTCATTACCATGTATGTATTATACAGAAATAATATGTTGAGCACATTATCTTGAAGTACCAAATTTACTCTCACTTCTTGGGTTTTCTGGCCATCAAAACCATCCCATCATCCAATCCTCCAGCCTTTCCTATCTGCCGCTCTTGTTTTCCAATCCCATCCTCCGTTCAGTCTTTCCACGTCTTTTCTTATCACATCTTCCCACTTCAATCATGGTCTTCCTAGTGGTCTCCTGCCTACTGGGTTCTCATCCATGATCATCCTTATGAGATGGTTCTGGCTTAGCATAGCATGTCTAGCCTATTGAAGTGTTCGGCTTCTGATTACGCTTAATATATTTTCTTTTCGGAATATCATTTCCAGTTCCTCATTTTTTCTTGTTTTCCACTCTCCTGTTTCTCTGTCCATAACAGGTTCAAAAATCTTCCTTAAAACTTTCCTTTCAAAAACTAGTAATTTCCTTTCCTCAGTCTTTCTCAATGGCCAGGCCTCAGTCCCATAAGTGACAACTGGGTTACCTATAAAGGTTACCTATAGTTATATTTTCATTTCTATTGACAGAGATTGTGATATGGAAAAACGGCTGCACTATCTCTTCTACCAACAACCATGTATTCAGTTTTTTCTTCGTTTACTTGTAACCCTACTTCTTTTGCCTTTTTCTCCAAACGAGTGAATAGTAATCTTAAATTATCTTTTGATTTGCTCATTAGTACCACATCATCTGCATATGTATTTACTCTCACTAGTGATTAATAATTGAGTGTCTTACCGTCTTCCACTAATTGCACCAAAACCTTAAATTTAAGGTGGGACATAGTCTTGTTTTAAATTTTTTATACCGCCACCCCTATACTTAATTTTAACCTCAAATCAGATTTGTTTTCTAGTCATTTACATAAAGTTATACGATAATAGACCAATGAAGTAACGTTAAAAAGCCCATGATCTATTTGCACAGCCTAAAATGGAAAAGTTTATTAATTAATGAATTTTTAGCTTACCCATTCCCTTTTAAAGGTAGGGCAGTTACCCTACCTGGATATGGGTTATAGCGTCTCTGTTTTGTACTATATTTTTTCAATGCCTAGAAAAATTAGGTCTTCTAGTTGAAGATTTTGACTAACACCAAATACAGTGAAATTTTCTTCTATTAATCTTTAATGAACCTAGAGAACCAGAGCATTTTATTCAATGTCGTGTTATATCTTGATTACAAAAATTACTTAAACTCTTAGAAAAATTAATTTATTCGACTCATTTTTTCATTTTTTATTATTATAGTTTAAAATATGAAAATTTGAAAATTATTGACTCCGCTTATAGATCATGTAGATTATATTAATATGGGATTTCAGTGTAAAATAGGTGTGAATTTATTGTCAAAGAGAAAAACAATTAATTTTCAAGAATACTTGAATGTTCTATATTATTTATTTATTTATTTTTGTTATTAAGGAATTTATTATTTATCAATATTTTGAATTTTTCATAATAGTAAATTTCCTCAAGATTTAACATAAAATGTTGAGGCTGGTTTTAATTATTTGTTAATATTAAAATTCCAACACTCCTTTAATTTTTAATATTACATATTATATAATATTACAAAATAATATTGTATAATATTACATTGTAATACATAACCAAGGGTTGACTTTTCAAAACGTTATTTTTGTGGATATTGATGTAGGTGAAACCAAATTTAATATTAAAATAATATTGTTATTTTTGAACTATTGCTGTAAATGAAATCATTATATAAAACCAAAATTACTATACATGAGGTATTAACTAACTAAATACATTGCTAGAAATAATTTTACCCAGAACATCATTATATACAGCATTGTAATGATCAGTTTCAACCGTATGTTTATTTATTAACATTGAACTATTGTTATTTACTATTGTTTTATACAATTTATTATTATATTTTATTATGTTCTATTTGCTGATATTGGATTTGATATTAATTTATTGCATGTTTATTATTATGAATATATCGTTAAACATTAACACAAGTAATTCAAATAATACATTTAATAAATAAATAAAATGTAGATATGTGGCAAAAATAATATTTTTATTAGATAAATTACAGCTTAAATGATATAATTAGGATTATATAATTTATAATTTATTAGGTATTCCAACAAAGATCCATTAAAATGTTTTCATATGTACTGAAAGAATGTTCAACGTAAATTAAAGTCACAAGAACTCATAACTAATATCAGTTATCATAGCCGTTAAACATTTATCTATTATTTCATTAATTTCATTTAAAACTTGTTACATATTTTAAAATTCAATATCACTATTATCAAATATGTAATTTATTATATTTACGTCACAGCAACACAAATTATTAACAATTTTTAAAATTAATCAATATATTCTCTAATATTCTTTTATCTTGAAATATTCTAAAATATGCAAAGAAAAAAAATTGACATTAGCTTACACGTTTCATGATTTGTAATGTTTTCAAATCACTCTATAACTGCATAGAATCAAAAAAAAAAATATATATATATATATATATGAAAGAATATTATTCTAACTTCTAGTTATAATGTTTATCATCATTATTTTTTTTTTTATGTATATATGGTGTTTTTCAGACCAAAATTTGCACTTAATGCTATAAAGAAAAAACTTACAAGTCCTAATCCTCATACTGCAATGTTTAGCCTATTGGTAAATTTACATATATTGAGAGAAATAAACTATATTTTTTAAAATATTGTTATTTTGATAATAATTTTATTTTTAGGTATTGGAATGTTGTGTTAAAAATTGTGGCCAATTAGTTCATGATGAAGTTGGAACTAAACCATTTATGGAACAGATGAGAGAAACTATAAAAACAACTCCACATGAAAATGTAAAAAACAAATTACTCGAATTATTACAGACTTGGGCATTTGCTTTTCGAGCAATTCCTAAATATTGTGCGGTTCAGGTAATAAAATTGTGTTCTATAATATAGAAATTATTTGATTATTCAATTAAATAATTATGAAATGTGTATAATTACCTTTTATTAAAATAATTACTAAAAATAATTTTAACTTGTTGTTTTTCAATATATTTATATTATTTGTATCAATATATTTATATATATTTGTATTTTTTTCATAATTTCAGGATACAGTTAATATAATGAAAGCTGAAGGTTATACATTTCCTGCTCTTAAAGAAAGTGATGCTATGTTCAGTTCAGATGTAGCTCCTGGTTGGGAAGATTCTGATTGCTGTCATCGTTGTCGTGTTAAATTTGGAATGGTTCAACGCAAAGTAAATATTAAGTTTATGATGATAATATGTCAACTATATTAAATATTAGTTTTGTTAAGGTAATTAAAATATTTATTTGATTTATTAGCATCATTGTCGTGCTTGTGGACAAGTTTTCTGTGCACAATGTTCATCACGGTCTTGTACTTTACCTAAATTTGGTATTGAGAAACCTGTACGTGTTTGTGAAGCTTGCTATGAAAAATCACAAAAGTACAAAATTATATATATATATTATTGAAAATTGACTTACATTGACAAGTTTTATAAGAATTAATAATTTATTAGTTATAAATAAAAGTTAAATTTGTAGGTAAAAATATTTTCAGTTATTTTTTGTGGTGTTACAAAAATATTTTTCTTCGAATACACCTACTTATTAACAATAAATTATATATTTTTTAAGCATTTAAAAAAATTAATTTATCATTAACACTTTCACTTCACATGTGATTTTTGGCCTACTACCTGGTCTACTAAAAAAACTTCAATGATTGGTACAAATTAAGTTTTTATTTTCATAAATTATTAAACTATTCATACTACTACTATTATTTAGTATTTATTTTATTTTTTTACTATTTACTACTATTATTTATACTACTATTAATAATTGGTACAAATTAAGTTTTTGTGCTTACAAATTATTAAACTAATTAATTAAAATCTTTTTTTCTTGTCAATGTTATGTGGTTTTAGAACATAGTTTATCAACAGCCAATGAAGTAAACTTCTATTTATAAAAAAAATTTTGTTGTAATCACATTCTTTTAAATTATAATAACATTTTAGTATTAATTTTTTTCCTTGAACATAAATCACTTTATTTTTTCTATTGTTTAATTTATGTTTGTATTAAATTTAATTTACTTCATTTAGTTCATAATTTTATGTTTTTATTTAAATACTATACTTATTGATGATTTTTTTAATATATATTAGGCCACAATTCAACAAAGGATCAGAAGATTTACCAATAGAATATCTTACTAGTTCTTTGGCTCAACAAAATCAAGTATGTCATATTTTTATTTATTTTTTTTTCGTATAATTTATTAAAATGTTTTAATAAATAATATATTAATGATTTAAATGTATCAAATTAAGTTATAAAAGTTGTATTTTGTTTGTTTGGTGATTATTATAACTTTTCATTGTACATTTCATAAACATTTTTTCGTAGATACTTAAAAAGTTTACTGTCAAAAAATGAATTTAAATTTCTTTTTAGTTGTTTATTTTATATGAAACTATTATTAATGAACCGCGTATTTTAGCAATGAATATTATGAAATAATTCAAAAGGAATCAAAATTAAACCAATAATTTAATGCTTAAGTTATATATTATAATTTTTTTTTGTTTTTGTAAAGATTCCAGCTACTAATAGAAAAACCGAAGAAGAACTAAGAGAAGATGAAGAATTACAATTGGCTTTGGCTTTATCCCAATCTGAAGCAGAACAACAAAAAGTATTCTAATTTAAAAATAATAAATTATTTTTGTTTGTTTAATATCATACTTCAATGGGTATTATGTTACCAATTTTGGAAAATAATTAATTGTAGTAATGATTTTATTCTTCAGCAAAATAATAATTTTAATTTTTCAATAGGTGCCTTATATGAATACAACTTTAGCTCCAGCTACTCGATTATATTCTTCACCTCCAGTAGTAAGTTAATTAAATTTCAACTCCAGATAAATATTAATTATCTTAAATATTAATTTTAATTCTTAGAAAGAAGAAAAAGTTGAAGTTGAAGAAGATCCTGAAATGGCTCGATATTTAAATCGATCATACTGGGAAAATCGAACTGAGCAGCAAACTAAACCTGTACAATATAATTATGCTCCAACAAATGTATATTTAATATTTATTAATTTACTATTAACTTAAATATTAATATTTTGCTGATAATTAATGTTTGTTATTTATTATATATTGATTAAATAATCTAGGTAAGCATTATTCAGTCACCAAACACTGTAATTAGTCCAGCTGTCAAGGTTGAACAATCTGAAGACTCTGAGGAAATGGATTTATTTATAATATCTGTAAAATCACAGTTAGAAATTTTTGTTAATCGTATTAAATCAAATTTAAGTAGAGGTAGAACAGTAATTAATGGTGGTTCATTGGAAACTTTTTATTCAAAAATTACACCTATGCATCAAAAGTTATTGCAATATATTCAACAACAAGATGAGAAAAGGTGTAAGTTCAATATTTATCTACTCAGTAAATTTGTTTTTAAAAGTATAGTTCTTAAATTTATTATATTTATAGTTTTTAAAATCATATAAATTAAGAATAGAAAAAATTTATAAAGACTATAAAATAGATTTAAAAAAAATCATAAAAAACTTTTCAACACATCTTTTTGCCTTTTTTCATATTTTCTCATTTTTTCATAAATTTAGTTATTAGTAAACAAAATAAATGTTAACTTGTTAATGTAATATTCTGCTCCAATGTTTTTTTTTTTTTTTTTTTATAAAAGTATTTTAAACAAAAATAAAAATAAACTAATATGTTTCAAAATATTTATGAAAAATAACTGATTTTTTATATTATCTTCAGCATGTTTATATATACTTTTTTTTCAGTATACTATGAAAGATTGCAAGACAAATTGGTCCAAGTAAAGGATACTCGTGCAGCATTGGATGCCATGAGGGAAGATCATAGAGTTAGTCTTCAACAAGAAGCTGCTTTTGCAGAACAACAAAGACAAATACAATTAGCAATGAAATTAGATGTTTTAAGGCAGAGAAAACAACAGTATCAACAAGTAATATTTTTAATTTTAATTAATTATGTAAGTGTTTTATTATTTAATCTATTATTTTATAGTATCAACACCAAATGACACTTCAACAAGTGCAACAACAAGAACAAGAAATGGCTATGAGAATGGAACATCAAAGACAAAATTATATTAACAATAGTATGTACGGTCCTAGTTCTCTACCGAGTGTACCAACTGCACCTACTCCTTATATGTCACCTGGTCCTAGTAAGTGTCTTTTAATATGATAGTAATATAAGAATCATATCAATATCAGTAAAAATTTTTAATGTATATTAATGGATTTCACATTTCATTTTATTCAAAATTATTTTTATAATGCTATGATTTATTTTATTTCCACAACTATACAAATGGTTTTAGATATTTATTTGATACACTTAAAGTTTTTCACTTAAATCATATATGATTTGTATATATTTTATATACAAACATTTATAATATATAATTTGATACTGCTTTTTGGTAAAATAACAATAACATTTTCAACTTCTTAAATATGTTTGTTGAAGTATTGTAAATATTATAAATGTATCAAAATACTAGCAGTTTACTGTATAAACTAATTGTATTATATAGTTAGATATGCTAGACATTTAGCATTAACCGTACTACCATATCAATTTTAGATTCATTGATGTCTTCTCAAATGCAAGAAAACGGTATTAGGTATCCCCAGTCAACAGAATCTGGTCATTTTCAACCAATTTCTCAACCTCAAGGTATTTAAGTATTCAACTAAATAAACATTAAGGGCAATTTTTAATGATAAATAAATATTATGTACTGTAGCTTTTGTTGGGAGCCATATCATACCTCCAAATCCAAGTACACTTCCTATCAGCCAGTCAGTGAATATACCTTCTAACGAGCCTAATGGTTTAGTGCAAGTCAACCCAAATATTTCACAGTCTATTTACCAACCTCAAATGGGACCTATGCCTGGTACAATTAATTCAGGAGTTCCTATTAGTTCACCGCTGAGTTCCATACACCAGCAACACCATCCTGGTGTTGGGCCTCACTCGCAGTCTATGATGGCCGGTAATCAACAACCTCCAATGCCAAACATGTTACCACAACATTCTCTTCCAGTTGGGCAACCGTTGATATCCAGCCAACATCAGCAACCAATGTTAAGCCAGATGTCTTATGGGGCACCAGTACACATGGGACAGTATGGTGCACAGCAAATACCTAGTCAACAAGTTAATCCACAGCCGTCCGCTCCAAACCAAGTAGAACAGTCCAAAGTCGAACAACCGCAGGTGGCAGAATTAATCAGTTTCGATTAACTTATTTAATGTTTAACATTCCAAGCATATACAATTTATTACATTTTAAAATTTATTGAAAATTAATATTATATTATTTTAACTTGTGGGTATTTTATTAAATTGTTTATTATATACAAAATATAAATATTATAAATTAATATATATATATATATATATATATAGTGCATTACAAATTCACATGGAAAATAAATTTTTTAAACTATTGAATAGTTAACTTGTACACACATACACACATACACATACTGTTATTGTACACAGTATGCATGGTTAATCATAATATATGGTTTTGATCATGTTAAGAAAAATCATATTTGCATTTAACATGATATGATTATTGTACACACATTTGTCATTAAAAGAAAATAAAGTGTTTGTTATAGTTTTCAGCCGTAATATGGGGTTCTCGTGTACGGAGTCCGGTTATCCTCTTCTTTGATTTTTTGATAATAGCTATATGTCACCCACCACATGAACATGTAAGCGCCTGTAAAATATACAATGCTCGTGATGCGTGTGATCCGTTTAAAGATTTTATTTGTTCAAAACTTACAGACGCACAGCATGCCTATAACTAGCACTGCAATGCTGACAAAGTAGAATTTATGTATCATGAAGTCGATGGTCGTGTATATCACAGATATGATTAGTCCAATACATAGCATAATCGTAAGCACTATCCAAGGAAGCATCAATATTTTCTTTCTCTGAAACCAAATAGCCGTTACAGTGTTAATACATTATTTGTCTTTTTTTTTTTTTTTCGTCCTTTAATACAATTCTAATACACACCATGAAAACTCCGGCCAACAGCAAAGATGATATCAATATTGTCATGAGCAGATTAATGGCCACTATGATTTTCACTGAAAATTAAAACAAATATGCTTGATCAAATAATTCGTATAATAATAAAATTATCACTCTACCCAAGGCGCTCTTCATAATATATATAAAATTGTCGTTAATGATTTTTTTTCTTCTTCAGCTTTACCAAATAATTGGATTGGTACCGATTTATTTGGTTACCGTTAAGATAAATATTAGAATTCTATAATTTCCTACAACCCTACACTTTCACGCTCGAATTCGTAACGAACAACTGGCCAAATTTGGTGGTTTCAAACAGGGGCGTATTTGGACTTTCTCCCAGAGATGGATACCTACTCGATTTTTCCGTCCACCGCTTACGACTTGTTTGTAATACAGTTAACAGCGTAACCGTAGCAGCGCAAATCCTTGGGTTCAGGGGAACCCAAAATTATTCGGTTGTGGGCAATAATGGCAAATGGTTGTTAATTCCTAGTTCGTAGACACATATATTTAGTGATTAATGTTGATCGTTTAAGTGCAATCAACTTGTGGAGGTTGTACGATTCTCTTGTCCATCTTAGTTTTGCATCTGATATTTAACATGTGTTCTTATCACACGTTAATATTTTAATAGTTGGTAGTTAGTTAGTGTATTTTATAATAGTTTAAAATTGTATTAATTTTTCATAGTAGATACTTATCTCGCATTAGATTAGTGCACTAAGTTTAGATTCTAGGGAGGATGGGTGATCTCTTTTCCCCTTAAATACGCCTCTAGTTGTAAGTGATGTAAATGTATAACATTTTTAATGAGGGTATGAATGTAGGACAATATATTATTTTACGTGACAGACTTACCGACGGATTTCGGAAGAAAGTCAATGACGATGGTCTGTATTTTGATATCGGACGTCAGTAAAATTATCAGAGTGAAAATGGCGATCACCTGTGAAATAATAAAATAAAATAATTATTGAAAGTGGTTGGAAATCTGTTGGTGGAGTGGACACGCGTACGTCCCCGTCCATCACCAGCTAGTAAGTTTCGTGAGAATTAATGTAAATCTTGAGCAATAAACGAGGTGTCCCGTCAATATACATTAGCAGCTAAAACAATAACAAAGGTCGTTGGTCCTCGAATGTGAATTGCACACATTTATGTACAATGGTAATATTATCTGTTTATGGTCGTAATGATGTGTTCGACCCGTAACAATTAGCAAACCGTTTTTTTTATTTTTTTTTAAGCGCACTGTGACTGATTTACGATTGGTTCTTTTTTATCCGGCAGTTGTGCATTATAATCGTTCTCGCAGAGAAAAACGCTGACCAAGTTTTCCCGAGACGTGCCGAACGCGCCGAGTAGAACGTTTTTAGATTTTCTTTTCGCACGCCATCATCGTAATTCGATAATAATAATCCTCCGCATGCGACGGAAATTCGTATTTGATACACGCGTTTCCGAAACCAACGGCAATCTTATAATGAGAAATTAATCGTTAAAAAAAAAAATAAAACTGTTATTAACCCGTTTCTGGCAAATCCGATAAACTGTTTCGGTTACGAATGTGTAACACGCGAGAATAGTCGTGCAGTCCTATACTGGACTGGTATGCTACAGTAACTATTCGAACATGATATATTGTTCATTTCGTTTATTGCGTATGATACATACGTTTCAGGATAAATTTGTTCCTCACGAACAAAACGTTGGGAAATGTGCGATTTGGTATGTAGGTGAAAATGTGTATACGCAAATGTTTTAAAATTGATTATGCGACTCCCGGGATATGAAGCGCGTCGGATAAACGATGGTATTATCTGGATGCGTCGTAATGATTGGTGCAGTACGGGTTAGCGGTAGTGCGAACGTCTAGGCGTTATTCAATGTCAACTAGTTATTTTCGTTTTAATGGCCACGCGTAAGAATAATAACAACATTTTGGTTCGACGATGCAATGCGAAGATATGATTAAAAGCAGTTATATGCGTTTTAAACGATACACCGCGTAGTGACGTTTAATACGGAAGCCAGATCGTACGAAAAAACCTATACGTGTGTACCTACATCGATTTGAGAAGCTTAACAGTAGGGGTCGCTGATCGGAATAATAAATACGAAAAACCGACCGCTCCTCAAAATTTTGTGTAGGTGGGTATTTTATGTTAAGTGTTTTCGGGCGGCTAAAAAAAAATGCTGGGGCGCTATGATCCCCATACCGTTTTGATCGTTCCGCGTACCTTTCCACATGACATCCAATTAATAAAATTAATTATATAAGCACACATATAACAAACAATCTAAAATTAATATACGAGTTAGTTATTTAATGTAAGACACTGTTTTTCGGAACTATCTGCAGCTATACCCCGACAGCCAACAAGACGTGTAATAGCTGATAATTATAAATTAAATCAAACTTTTTTTAAAAAAAAATATTATAAATTAATAACTGATTAGTAATTTCTTATGAGGGCGATTGTTTTGACTAAATAGTTGAATGATCCAGTGAACTGTTCCGGGAGATATTTATATGAGAAATGTTTTCAGTACGTCGAAAAGCGACGAAAGAGTACGGTCACAATTGTTGATAAACACGTTGTACTGCAGTAGAGATACACTGTTCGATCCTTTCATGGCGTTTCGATCGATTAGGTTATGGTCACCGGTAATATATTATTAACACTCAACAGCTTGTTGATAATTATACTTTCTTCGAAAAAAAAATAAACTTTCAAATCATTCAAGCGTTAGTGTCGTCGTATAAGTCAGGTTTTAGTTTTCGTTTTCGTCGTAACGCAAGCGTATACGCAGGAACAGGATTACATTATTAGACAACGTTGATATGAAGCACTAGAGTTACAAAACCGAAGACGTAAATATCCTCGTCATATTACACTATCGTCACTAGTAACCGTAGCGTGTGGTTTTTGCGAAAAATACATTATCATTGAAAAAAAAAAACACTTAACAAAGTGTAACAATGAAAATATCACGTTAAAAAGTATATTAATATTGTTTTTGTGAAAATGCTTCGACTTTAAATATAATAATTTGTAAAAATAATTGTTTTGGAAACAAACGATTAATATTCCGTAGTGTGATATCATGTTATAGTGGTGATGTTAAATCAGAATAGACCCGTTTTCATCGTCCCTTTACACACTGCGTGTAGGTATATACATTGCACACGCGACAAAATATGTGCCAAGGAAAATTATTAATACAATAAATCCGTGCGGTTGACCTCCGTCGGCGTGAGTGTAATAATATTTCGTTCCAGAAATGTCAAGTTTCCCTCATAAATTCGTTAAAAAATTTACTATTATTATGTATGGATCGACTGACCACAGCGATGCGCCCCCATTGTAATCGCGGTGCGTTTTACCGCGCGTGCCAATATAAATACGAATCCGACAGTTATTGCACGTTATACTTTGCCATGTGCTACAATCGCTATTGGGGCCTTGTCGTAAATCGTTATTTTAACATATATGTTTTACATGTTAGTGCTTAGGCGTCTGAACATGGCGTGTATGTTATTAATACGTACGCGTGGAAAACTGCAGTAATTTCTTGCCCGAATAATGTATAATAACAATGTGTACTGCAGGCACACAACCGACGTGCTTACTACGCTAAATATAATACTTGATATCGTCTTGTCTGGCATGGTATCGAAAACGCGTACCGAAGTATGTGGACGAAAAAAAAAACGTGCTGTGCAACACGCGCGGAAAAAAAAACAAAACGTAATACCTTAAGCTCACATTGCAGTCACCACAATATACACTCGTACCATTACTTAATGAATTTAAATTTAACGACATCCTTTACACAGTGATTTTTTTATTTTTTTTTTTTGTATGAAACCATGAAATTTTTATCAAATAACGTTTCAATTTAAAGAATTTATACTGTTATCTAATAATTATTTAATAATACACGTACACATACTTTTTAGTTTTACAAAATAAAGTTTCGACAACATCATCAAACTGCTCTCGACACGATTCGCCGTGGATATCAGCGCATCATTAGCTTATCTAATTATATTTTGAGTTCATGACATTTTTAACTGTGAAAAACTTAGTTCTCCGAAAAAATAAAAATAAAAACTTTTATAAGATACTTATGTATACATTTTACAATACAAGTACCTACGTATATTATTATTATTATTATTATGTATATTATTTATAATTATTATTGTAAAAACGAATTTTTTCTTCAAAAATATATGTATATACTACAACATTACTTAGAGAGCGAGAATTATTCTTCTGTTAAATTTGCTCACCGTCATTTAAATATTAATCAATCCTATAATATTATAAGTTCTTGGATTTGTACCTGTACTCTGTGTTTCGCTATTGATCATAAATCGAAAAGAAACCGAAGAAAAACGTATAGTGACACTTTGTAGTGTTCATAGGTAAAATTAACAAATATTAAATGCAACAAATAAGAGTGCATAATCTTTTATAATCGTTATATTACAGTTGTTCCACTTAAGTTTTCGCCAGAGTGCGCGGAGATCATAATATCTGTATTAATAAGTCGATAATTCAAAAAAATCAATCATTTTATCTCTTGATCTTTGAACTGAAAAAATAAAAAATCAAGAACATATTTTGGGAACTTTTGACCATTGTATAATATAATAATCAAACAGGATTTTAAACCTTAGAGATTTGTACTGTACATGTTTCTGTCTCCGATCTTCTCAAATGTCGCCTTCGTTACACACTGGTCATTAGTTGGGTGAGACAGTCTCCGAGTTTGTATTAATCTTTAAGCTTAAAAATTATCTATCAACGAGTTTCGATCCATCTATCCTTATGGTATGTCGGATTCATCTATACTCATAAACGACCCAACGTCTATCCGTAATTTCGACATTAGCGTGAACAACAAAAACCATTTAATACGTCACCGAATAACAAGACAAATCAGATAATAATAATACATTATAATTGTATATAATAATATCATATAACCGGAAATGTTAAGTGACTGTTCAATGTCCCATGAAATAATTGTTAATTGCAATCCCATTTTAATACAGTGATCGATGGTGATGAGGAAATACCGGTTTATACGAATCGAAAATTAGTTGACAATAGATACCAAACTGAGTGTCAAACTGTAAAATACATCAGGACCTCGCAATAAAATAATAAATTAAAGTTGACTTATAAAATGCGATTTATATCAAATACATTGAATTTTCTGGACACATACAGTAATAGTCTATTTAAGATACTTGGGTGATACGAGTAAAATTAACATTACACTATCTGCTTCATAATTTTTATTTTGTTCACATAAAAACTGTTGTACTGTTGTGTGATTATTATATTATAGTTAGAATAATTAAATAATTAAAAAAATTGTTTTTTATAATATTAGTGTAGATAATAATAACGATGAAAATAGAGAAGGTATCTTAAAATAATGTTTTTATCCAATTTTTATCATTAATAAGTTAAGCTTCGATATTAAACAAAATCTAACATTTTAAATATAATCATATTATACTTTGCCATATTTTACATTTTATACTTAGTGGAATATCGATTGAAAACGCACTTAACAAATTTTACTGTATAGAACTATAGAAAAACTTAATAAATTATAATGAATAATGAACAGACGTACTTAAACCACATACATTCTTAACAATTTATTATTTACTAAATTACACTATACAGTAGCGGTTTGTTTGAAGTTGCATTATTATTATAATAATTCATTGAATTTCATCGGATAACATCAATATACAAGTATTATAAGTAAAGAAAATATACACGGATAACCAGTTAATTTTCATTATTATACAATATTCATGTCAAGAAGATACATTGATTACACAATTACAAGACAAGTACAAAGATGTAGTTTAGAAATGAATTTAATATTCAAATGCTGTCATATTAATCAGTA